AGCCATAGGGGGAGCCCAGAAATAGCTGTCTGGTGAACAATGTGTGAGCGAAGGGGGTTGGGGTGGATTCTTAGAGACTCCCTGTTATATTCAGCCACGACTCCAGATGAACAAGGGGGGGAATCAACTTTTTGGGGAGCAAAATGAATCGTAGCTGAACATAGACAACAACACCAGTAGCCTAAGCTACTTGTTAACAAGCTTAAGGTGCTGTATTATTAGTTAGTCATCTTTTAGCCAACATTACCTGCATCCAACAGCTTTACTCAACTCAGTCGGTTAGTTTGGAGGGAAAAACTGTGAAAAGTTCTTTGCGTTTTGCTGGTTTGCTGCCATGATTTTAACACACCTGCGTAGCTCTGCACAGCAGCAGCAGGTGTCCTTCTGCTGCACAGGTTTAAAGGTGGCTCGGAAAAAGAGGTTACCACAAGTTAACAATGGATTAAACAGGTTTAACTGCTGATAAAAGTGACAGAGGACACAGACATGGGTCGTGTGGAAGCCTCTACTGTATCAAATTGACATAGGAATAACAGAGAGTTGGCCACTCTAAGGTAAAAACCCAGCGTATACAGTGTTCCATCCAGACAGCTTCCCGCGCCCCCCCTGCAATGGCACGGCGCCCCAACTAGGGGGCGCGCCTCACAGTTTGGGAACCTCTGCCTTAACCTGACCCAGGAGAAAGATCCATTACAACAGAAGACATTCTGTCCTGTTCCGGGACCCAGCAGTCCTCACTGACTGCAAACCTGCTGCCCAAGAATCACACACCATAAAGTAGTGGAGAGACTCTTATTGACCCATTAAAAAACAAACAAATAGTGACCTTTTGAATGCAAACAAAATAAAGATGAGTGTAGATTTGCAGAGAAACAAACATGTCAACCACTGGACTATCACTTTGCATGAAGAGAATGAGGAGAGATTAACTGAGGAAAGTTTTGTCATTTTGATGTTACTGATCTACTACACATCTGTAGTGGGAGTGTAATTTCTACTGCAGTCATTTGTTTGGGAATCAAACAAATATCAGATCCAGTCGCTTCAGGATCTCTTCAAAGAAACTAATTTACCTTCTAAAATAGTAATGCGTTACTCAGCTAAACTGAACGAATACAGATTAGCGACAAATTGGCCTTTTTGTATTAGGCGTTATTGTTCTACTCAAATATCCAACCCACACGAAACCACCATCAATCAAAATTTGACATAAAACATTTGTTTTACAAATTAACTTTTAAATGCAAAACACTAAAACAAAACACTGATAATGTGATATTTATTGGATCAGACAGAATGAGAACCAGAATTTTAAATGTTACAGTTCTGTAAGTAAAAGTAGTTATTTTTTTCTTTTCCAAGCATTTTAGGCGATGCAGGCATTACTCGTCAGGCAGAATTAAAGATGCATGAGCAACCAGTGTCGGGACGGCAGCGTCTCGGTGCCAAAGGTGTGCACTGCTCAGGTGTCACCGGTTGGCTGCGTGAGGAGAGCAGAGAACAGGAGATCAGCAGCTGTGCAGGTATCAGGTCACCTGGTGCAAAAAGACTGTTTCAGCTCCACACTCAGACAAGGCAGCAGGTAAGGCTCTATGCTGTGTGGATTTAACAGAAAAGCATTGAATCAAAGAAGAGACTTAAGGTTATTTTTTCTTTCTTTTTTTTTTTTAAAGACATGGTCCTTAAAGCTGTTTTCTACTTCTAAGTAAAGAATCTTTGCATTTCTCAGATCAAAGAATGTCATTGGTTTAAAATGATCAGAGTGACACCTCTTTTAAGATGCAGCCTGTTCCATACATAAGCAGAGCTGCTACAGAAAAGACTCCATCACCTCTGCATTCAAGCCAGGATTTAGACATTTAGTGGAGCGACTGATTCGTTGACCTTGGTGCTCTGGCTGGAGTGTAGCTGTGTTAAAAGTTCAGGCAAGTAATGCAGTCACAAGTCAGGAAGAGTTGAAAAACAAGATGGTTAACTTGATCCTAATATGTATATAAAACTATCATAGGGAGGATGGTCCATCTGTCTTCTCAATAAAACAGGCCAATGTTTCTATACCTTGGAGGCACAAAAATAATAATGCAAACATCATGGAATTTCATTAGTAAGTCCTGTGTCACAGTCATGCATTAGGAGGTGGCCTGACTTTGGAGGTCATTAAAAGCTGTAATAGCTTAGGTTTTCCAGCATTACAAAACCAGTAAATACAACTAATTTACATTTTAAATTGTTGCTATGGAGACTTGGTAACCCTAAGACATTGCATTTCTCTAGGCCTCTTTTATGATTCTCCTCATTGTGCATGGTAGAAAGAAAATCTGTAATCCTCTTGCAGTCGTGTATGTCACAGTTCCAGTTTTAAACTGACGATTTATTGCTTTTCTTCTGACCACATGAAGGAAAGTGTCTATTTTTCTTGCCGTTTCCTGACGGACACACATCTGTCTGACTTAAATGGGATGTTTTCTTATCTTTCCCATGTTAAAGAGTGACCATAAAGAGAAAAACACATTTCTGTTGCATGATATTTATACCACAGGGAATGTTCCTTGTAGCTCTGAATGTGACATCATATGACTGTAATTACAAATATATTTCTTTTAAGACTTTATGCGTATCTTTACCTTGTGTTGGCAAGAACGGTGACTTGCACTGTAGCGCTGCCTGCTGTCTGTTTTTCCAGAATCCCTCAGTCCAGATACAATTATTAGGTTTCATGTTCCGCATCTCAATGTCAGGCTGCAAAAGGAACAATGGAGGCTTGTTAGTGAGAAGTGAAAAAAAACCCCCCAAAGATCACTGTCATCTCAATATATGCTTTCTGTGGAGTTTTTCTTTAACACATTGGGTGCCACAGAGCAGCTATTATGCCTGAATGAATTCGCTGAGCTGCAGGATCACAGCGGCCCCTCAGCTCAGGTGTGAAGAAGAAGACTAAATCCATTTTCACCCTCAAACACTAATCTCATGACTTCACCTCAATCTGCTTGAGTGAATTACTTTCCACATCGTACCCCGACCGGGAAAATCTATTCTGTCCTCTGTTGGTTCAGTGTTTGTAATAGATACCAGATAATCACTTCGTCATAGGCGACATCTGTACAAATCAGCATGGTAACTCAAAAAAAACAAAAAAGTTTCACAAATATAAATGAGAAAGCATAATTTTATCCTGTCAGATAAATAAATAACTACCTAACCAATAAGTATGTTTTTATTTCTATGCAATAATCAAAATTTAACATTTTAATGTTTTTGTAGCTCTAATTTACAACAATTTATTTGTTTTTAGTCAGTTAATTTATTTCTTTAAAAAATTTTCTTAATGTTTTTTATTGATTTCCCAGCACATGCAGCCATTTTGAAGTCTAGTTAAGATTTTTGTAATAATTTTGAGTAATAATTTTGAGTGTGAAATATTTTATCTAAAAATGTCCTTCCTTATCTGACAAAGCAAAACTTGAATGTATTCCTATCCAGATAATAGGTAAACATATTGCTGTGAAAAAGTATTTGCCTTATCACAAATTTCTTCAGCTTTTACATTTTAGATGCTGCAAACCATCGAATAACTGCAGATTATCATTTGCGGTAACTGACAACAAGCGTTTTATTTTAATTGAGCCACTAAACGGTTTTAAAGCATCATAGATCATCTATATCATCTCTTTAAGGAGCTTTTTTCCCCCATAATAAATTAATTCATCATTTACAAATAGCTTTTTCAGACTTTACTATGATATTAGAATGTATTTGTTGACTACTTTGTGTCTTTCTCATATGTAAATTTCACATCTGATTCAGATATTAGGAGAGAACCTTTCAAAACTCTCCAGGATGTCGGTATTGACAAATGATTTTAGTGTTCTATAAAATAAAAATATTCATATGCATCGGTCTCAGACTCGGTTTGTGATGGAGACAAATCAGAACAAGTCAATGAGAAGAACTCGGAGGAACAGCCAGTCTCTTCTTCAGGATCCGTACTACAGGGAAGTTCCTGGAGGACATAGAGACACTCCTGTGAGTCTTCATTAGCATGTTTCTGAACATTTCATCGTCATAGTTAGGAAGATATTTCAATTCATCCTCCACCGTGATTTGTATGTGCAGATCCCAGGAAAGCCAAGAGATGCTAAGATGATTCACTCCATTGCAAGTCTGATCAGGGCAAAGAGCAAACTGCTGCTGCTCGAGAACCCTGATACTGTGGAAATCTACAAGGTAAGTAACACTTATGCAGTTATAAATAAGTTATAAGTTACAGACATTTTTACACTGAAAGTTATATTTTCTTTTCAAGTTTAAAACTGAGTAATGAAGAAGAAACAACATGCATGCCAAGCAACAGCTAAACGTGTTATGCAAAAGTCTAGAGCCACGTCAGTGTTTTCTTTTTTTGCAACATTTTAATGATCCTGACTAATAATGTAATGTTTTATCATTCAATGAATATAATCTGGGAAACAGAAAAAAATGCTGTCCTGTAATCAAAATAGCACTTTGTTTTACTTTAATTTCCTTTTTATACAAATGCTTCTTGTGTTTTTAAGGGCAATATCAATTTAGGCTGTATTTAAAAATAAAAGCAATGCCCTTCTTCATTTTAATGTAATGTCTGCAGTACCATCCATTACCTTTGAGAGGCGCCAGAGTACAGGACGCCCATAAGGTTAAAAAGAAATGAACAAACAGCTGTAAAGGCTGGTTAGCTACAATAAAATGCACTTTTCCTGACATATTGAGGAAAAACATTATTGAAGAATCCAGTTAACATGAAACAGATATAAAGGCATGAGGAGAGGTTTGACAGTGCTGAAAGATTTCTTATTCAGAAACTTTAGCGGTTCTGTGCACAATCAAGGCGATAGTCATCAGACCTTTGCAAACTTTTAAAAAAAGCTCTCTTTATTTGTTTGTGTATGCTGGATTTAGCTGAAGGATCCCACAGCTGATACCAGAAAGTCGACAAGAGGTGACCTTTATCTTCCAGCCATCTCAAAAAAAGCTCCAAGCCTGAACTCACTCAGCAGAGCTCTGAGTCAGTCCTGCCCTTATCTGTATGACAAACGGAGAGGATCCTTCTCATCAGTTACTTCACAGAGAACAAGAGTTCACACAGAAAAACAGGTGAAGTGACTGTTTATCAGATTCATGCTGAAAAAGATTTATATATACTGTTATGTACTAACCAGTCACTTTATATCTCTTCCACTGATCACACAGTAAATTAGATGATTTATGTATCTTTAAATTCCAGATGGACTAAACTTTTATTAGAAACTGCTGATCTGTTGTGATTTATACACACAGCTATTTCTTTGGTGACAGAGAAGGTTTTAAAAAAATGTAGCCTGGTCCGGTGATTCTTGAATTTAGCAGTGATAATCTGATTGCTAGGTCAGATTTTGATGCTGATAACATAAAAGCATGGCTCCATCCTGCTGTGTATCAACATTTAAGACTGCTACAGCTCAGACTGAGTTCATTGTATTTCAGTGAACTCCACAATAAAACAGTTATCATGACCTAATGCCTAATGATGCATTGGTGATCTTTTGGAGCTGATACAACCCTTATCTGTCAAAGCATAGTGTTTTAACTCATTTGTTCTGCTTTTAACATATCAACTTTGAGAACAACATCTTCACTTACAGCACATATGCAAGTATATGAATTATCTTTCTTTATAGCAGAGCAACCTAAAGGCCCAAAAGGAGGCAAAGAAGTCCAACGTGACAGTGACTATGACCTACCTAGGACCAAGTCAGCGACGGTCACTCTCAAAGTCCACCAAGGATGAACTGAAGGTGCTTCAGCAAGTCAATGGAGGAGAAAATCTCTGTGTCTTTAAGGGCCTTGTTAGCGCAGGAGGTAATATACAAATCTCTTGTAATTTTGGATAAATTGAAACTGTTGTTAATTATTTAAGATGAAACAGATTCAAAAGCTAATGCAATATGTTACAAGTCCAGATTTTCCCTGAATAACTGCTAAGGTTTGACTAGTATGGGTTTGCTTAGAAAGATCATTGGTTCTCTGCATCATTTGTATGATTCTGCTTTATTCTTTATTTCCTCCTTTCTAACATGCCACCATTCAAATTACTCATCAGTTATCTGTTATAAAACCTTTTGTGCTTACAGCTATTTAGATACTCTTTTTAAATTTGCTGTTACTTTTGGTTTTTTCCACTAACTTTGGTAACTTTCGCTCAGTTGTTTCTCATTCTACCAGTCTCAGGTGTTTCCATCAAAGTCTACTTTACTTAACAAGACATAAAGATGCCAGCATAGAGTTAGTGTTTTCGATTGTGTCCACATGATTTGGCTGTAAGTTTCCTTAACACCAGACTAAGACCGGACCTCAGGATTAAAATCCACCAGAGTGTGGATGATGATCTCTGCAGGGCCTCAGGAAAGCGTTCTGGGGAGCATAAAGATCGTAATCCACTCTCCATTAAGCGGGAGGGATTGTGAGAGTTCCTTGAGTGTTTTGAGCTTTCACTAAGTGTTTGTGGAGGTGCATCGCTGCAGACTGGTTTTAAGAGTATCTGAAGCTGCGGCACCTGTTGAGTAATCTATAATTTTCACAACAACTCAATAAAAAGCGCTGTGCCCAGGTTTCTTACATAGAAATCGGCATGTGTTTCATTCCCGTGTAGTAAGGTTCACATTTGTTAAGAAGACATCCAAATTGCAAAAAATAGGTTAATTCTGGGGGACTGAAAGAAACTGAGTTTTTCAGACTGCAGAGAAAATGCAAACTGGACACATGCAATGCTGTCAAACAGACATCCTGGCATCCTATTTAGCAATGAAGAGGAGAGAGGAGGAGAACATACAAGAAGCAGATGATATACTGCAATACAATACTGGGATGGCCTTTAATACTGAGCAAACAGAAGGAAGTCAGGGAAAGCAGCAGGAAAAACATTGATGCTGAGCAACCAGAGACCAGTCCGAAATCATGACAGGGAAATGAATTCTACAAATTTGCTGCAATGTTTGAATATTTCTAACAATCCTAGATGCCATTCGATTGACTTAGTCTGATGTGACAGAGCTTTGATATACGCCTACTGAAATATTGAAATAAACCCAGTAAATACCTTGAATCTACAGAGTAAAGAATATAGCTGCTCCTGTATTGATGGAATTGGGAGACCTTCAGTTTTAACCAAAGGTTGAAATATTACTTTAAGTCTTACATTTGGTCCACTTTTATTTTTCAGAGCAGTTTCAGTTTGTGTCTCAGAGGCACAGAGGTTTCCCCTTCAGCGCCAGCTTGTTTGTCAACGGCATGGTGGTGGCTCGGATCAGCTCCTGCTGTGAGTACCGCTACGCTCCCGGCTTTCAGCAGGGCAGGAAAAGCTACTTCAGACTGAGCTGGCTGGCTGGTGGGACCCCCTGCTACAGGTCAGGTTTCATCCTACTGTCAAGGTTCAGCCACATGTTGGCAGAAATTTAAAATTAGTACCAGTGAAAACAAAGTGGGCAAATCCAACTCTAGACATTTGGGAACAAAAGAGAAAGACTGCTTAAAAAAAGCGATGGTAGTGATGATGGTGGCACAGGGGAGGAAATATGACTTATGATGAAAGCACATTTTTCATCTTTTTCAGATGCACTAGTCTCCGAAACAAATACAGCTCCTGCCAACAGCTGAACAACGGCACAAAGGAAAACTTAATTCTCCCTCTCGAGCAGAACACTGGCAATGGTACAAAGCCTGGAAATGAGTGTCTCCATTTTCCATTACTTCCCAAAGCTTATTCATCAATATTTTTTGACATTGCGCCCACTCCTGGGTTTCAGAGGACTAGTCTAAATAAAAAAAATCTACCACAAAGACTTATTTTTTTTCATTTTGTCTCCCATAAAGGCACCATCGAGTCGTGTCCATCATCCCCTCTTTTTATCCCAGCCAAACCTGAGAAGATATCGGTGAGGAGAACTAGAAAACACGTCAAGGAACGCAGCGGAGGATCCACTGACAGCGAAGAGGCTGTTTTTTCTGGGATGAAAGAAAAATTCAGGAGGAAAAAACGCAAGGGTCAAACCGATCAGAAAGAGAGCAAAGGAAAGACAGGTGGGAAAAGCAGAGGGGAAGATGAGCAAGGCGGCAAGGGCTCAGAGAGATCAACTGGCTCTGAACAATCTGAAGAGCAGACAGGACAGAAACCCAACCACTCAAAAACAATGGGGAAAGCCACTAAGCCGCAGACAGAACAGCTGCCGTCAAACAAGACAAGTAAAACCGTTGGTGAGCGCTGGGTCATTCCTGTTGGTTTCATTACTGTGAAACAGAATGAAAAAGGTGTCAGAGCCAAACACTTTGGCAGTGAAACTAGTGTTTGTATTTTTGACCTCAACATTTAGTTTACATCAGTTATAGAAGCACAAAAATCAATTTGCTAAAACCAAACGTGAATGTAACAGTGCTGACTTTATGTTTTTTTTTTAAAGAGTTCAATGCTGCTAGCCGGTCATCTTGGCAAAAGTTCATTTTATTTATTCTTTATAAAGCTATAATTTGTCCAAATTAAATGTTTTGGGCTTAAAATTCAAATGTTATGGATTTTGGACATGACTGACTTACACTTTGCGATTTTGTACTTGACCTGTGACCCAAATTGATCGAAGTATTTCTTTTTAAATTGTTCAATTCAGTCTGACATATTTGGTATAAACTTGTGAAGTTGATCAAATTTGTTCTTTCAAAGAACTGACCACATGTTCTCATTGGGTTTAGTGTTGAAAATGTTCTCACCACACGTCCAAAAATTCAGTGCTTCATCTGTCATCCTGATCAGAGCTCCATCACACTTTAAAATCCTCAGATGGTTATTACATTTTTACCTAATATGATGCGATGACACCACTCTTTCTTCATGACATTGTTCTTGGGCAGAATTATTGAGCTCATTGTTTTGGATGAGAAGCAATCCAATATGAACGATTCACTTGTGGGATGACACGGGTCAGACAATGCTCATCATCTCTTGCCTGGAAAAAATGGTTTTCCAGATGCTGCTGAACTATAAACTTGTTCAAAAAGTAAAGTTTTAATTCCTGCAGTCAGAGTCCAAAGTGCTCTGTTAGGAAAATATGGAAAATCTCTAATGTATCTTGATTATTGAGGGATTAAGTAGGAGAAATATGATCTTTCTTTTTTATTATCGTCAAAACTCTTCCAGAAAAGTTTTGGATCAGCCAAAAACTTTTAATCCAAATGCATTTGGTGGACTTCCTGACAGTATAGAATCACAGTCGTCCAGCCTTAAAGCAACAAATGCATAGACTAGTTTTACAGTGTCACCCCTGGACAGGAGGTGTAACTCAACCCAACAAGATTTGTGCATGTGTTATTTCTCTTTAATGGTTTTACAATAAAAGAAGAAGAGCATTTGTTTTTAAAAGAGTCATTGCAGGGTGAGGAGGGACTGACGAAGCAGAACAGGAAGGAGCAGAGAGACCTCAAGTCAGATGGGAAAACCAGCGATGGGGGAAGACTGAAGGACTTCTACAAAGAATGTGTGGAAATGAGTGCTGAATTGAACCAGAGCCCAAGCAAACACTGGTTCAAGGCAAACAGTGAGTACAGACTATACATAACAGCAGAATTAAAATGAGTCCCTCTGGAGAGCTGTAACTCATTTACGTAACACAATTTGGGGGGGAAAAAATGACTGAATTTGGAAAAAGCACGTTGAGCAGCGTCTGCTTGAAGGAAGATTGATGATGTGTGGGAGAGATTATACAGATGTTGCCTACACAGACATACACATTCCCACATCTATAAATCTAAACTGTTTCACTTTCTCTTTTGCTTAATGGATGCACAAACTGAACATTATTAGTTTGAGTCTCGTATGTAAATCTTGTGTTCCTTTCACGCGGTTTTATCACCCATTAGTTGCTCGATTCTCTCTTTAAGTCCTAGAGAGGTGCCGGCTCCAGAAGAGGCTGTCGTCATCATGCCCCAAAGCTCAGAACTCCGATGTGGAGCTGAGTGCGGAAAGTGACACAGTACTGCAGCCTGATGGAGAGCTAGCGGAGGAGG